TAAGTCCATAGGTTGTACTTGTAGCTGATTAGGAGTAAGCAATCATGTTAACAGAGAGGCAGGAGCACAGAACCAGTGCTCCAATCTGACAAAGTGGAAATACTGCACCACAGTGCCTAAGGCCTGCAATCTACCTAAAAAGGAATCACTCTGCATAATCTGTCTTCTCATTTTTCCAGGAAAAAAGATGCCAAAAGGCAAATTCTAAAGGGAAAAATATTTGCAAAAAAAAGGAAAAATGCATATATGATTACATGTCCACTGTAATTCTACATCATGTACAACCAGAAGAATGAGAAGGTATACTCCATTGACACATGATAAATCCAAAATGCATTGTACTGTCATGTATACTAATTAGAACAGATAAAAACAAGGAAAATAAGGAATTCACCACTTTGATGTATCAAGAACCTAGTCAATGTTCATATTTTTGACCCAAAAATCAACCTCGAAGAACATACCCAAAGGAAAGAGTAAGAAATTCAAACCAACGTTTATATAAAAAGAGTTTCTTGACAATATAAAAAAGATTGAAATAAACTAAATGTCCAAGAGCCAAATCTTACTTAAATGAATGTGGGCAGGTGCTAAAAACATATTTGTGTTTAAACATATATGTGTTATATACACACACACACAACACATACAAATACATACATACACATCCATATATATTCTTTTTAAAATGTATATTTTAAATATACACACATACACAAGAAAACTGAAAGGGCAAAATGATGAATATAAGTTGAATATAAGATAATATAATACAAGATAAATATAAGATAATCCTTTAGTGTGAAAAAATATAAAACTACTATTTATGTTTTATATTTTTTTCTCAAATTAAAAAAAATCTAGTTCTGGCATGTTTTATAATAATTAATTAAATTATAAATATATGTAATAAAGGCATGCCTGACTTTCTTTTTTGATGTGAGTTTGCTACCAAGAATGTTTGGAGAACACTGCTCTGGAGCACGATTTTATGGGCTACTCTCACTGATCTGGCAACAGCTTGGAACAGAAAACAGAGACTGCAATGACATATGAATATTACAGGTCTCATTCAAAAGGATAATATTATCACTGTACACTTTTACTTGTTCAATTGAAACCTACCCTAATATGCAATTAAATTTTGTTGGACTTTGTGTTCTCTCCAGTGTATCTTGACTCCAAAATAGCTAAAAAGTGAATGAAATCCATGTGCACACATTCCAATGTTAAAGTACTCGATCAGAGCAAACCTAAGTAGATAAAGAAGGTTTGTATTAAATCCTATAATTATAGATTTTGATCTCTGCTATGATTGAATGTTTGTGTCCCTCCAAAATTCATGTTGAAGCCTAATCCTGAATGCAATAATGTTCAGAGGTGGGAGCCTTTAGAAGGTGACCAGGTCAAGCTCCATCCTCGTGAATGTGATCTGTGGCTTTCTAAAAGGGCTTGAGAGAGTCTATTTGGCATTTCTATTCTCTTCCACATCAAGACACAGCATTCACTCCTTCTTCCACACAAGGACACAGCAACAAGTTACCATTTTGGAAGCAGAGAGCAGCCTTCAACAGGCACCAAACCTGCTTTCATCTTGTCTTGGACTTCGAGCCTTCAGAATTCTATAATTTAAAAGTTACCCAGTCTGCACACTCATACATTGATGATTGACCCAAAAGTTGGTGCAGCCAATATGGAAAGCAGTATGGAGATTCCTTGGAAAACCTGGGAATGGAATCACCATTTGACCCAGCTATCTCACTCCTCRGTCTATATCCAAAGGACTTAAAAACAGGGACACAGCCACATCAATGTTTATAGCAGCACAATTCACAATAGCTAATTGTGGAACCACCCTAGATGCCCTTCAGTAGATGAATGGATAATGAAAATGTGGTATATATACACAACAAAATACTATTCAGCATTAAAAGAGAATAAAATCATGGCATTTGCAGGTAAATGGATGGAGTTGGAGAACATAATGCTAAGTGAAGTAAGCCAATCCCCAAAAAAACAAATGCCGAATGTTTTCTCTGATATAAGGATGCTGATTCATAATGGGGTTGGTGGGGGAGCATGGGAGGATTATACAAACTCTAGATAGAGCAACGGGGAGGGTGGGAAGGGGATGGGGGTGAGAAAGGCGATGGAATGAGATGGACATCATTACCCTAAGTACATGTATGAAGACATGAATGGTGTGACTCTACTTTGTGTACTTCCAGAGATATGAAAAATTGTGTTCTAAATGTGTAATATGAAATGTAATGCATTCTGCTGTCAATACATAACAAATTAGAATTTTTAAAAAATTACCCAGTCTAGCTGGATGCAGTGGCACACCTGAAATCCCAGTGGCTCAGAGGGCTGAGGCAGGAGGATCTCGAGGTCAAATCTAGTCCCAGCAATTTAGTGAGACCCTAAGGAACTCAGCGAGACCCTGTATCCAAATAAAATATATAAAAGGGCTGGGAATATTGCTCAGTGGTTAAGTGCCCCTGGGTTCAATCCCTGGTGCCAAAAAGAAAAAAAAATACCAAGTCTAATGAATTTTGTTATGGAAGCAAGAATAGGTTTAGACAACTTCTGTAGTGATATGTGAAGATCAATCCCATCTAAGATTTACCCTAAGTAATTCATGTTCTTTTTTAAATTTTTTAAATTTTTTTTTCAGTTGTAGATGGACACAATACTTTTATCTTATTTATTTATTTTTATGTGGTGCTGAGGATCGAACCCAGGGTCTCACACGTGCTAGGCGAGCGTTCTACTGCTGAGCTACAACCCCAGCCCTTCATGTTCTTTTTGAGTTTAATGGATGATTCATAACTCTCATTCAAGGAGTTCAAATTGCTGGTTTTAGTGTTTAGATATGAGGTATCTCTCAAAAGCTCATGTGTTGACAATGCAAGAATTCTCAGAAGTAAAATGGTTGGACTAAGACAACCTTAACCTAATCAGTGGATTGATCTACAGATTAACTGGGTGGTAACTGTAAGTAAGTAGAGTGGGCTGGAGGAGGGGCCTCTCTTTAGGGGCCTCTCTTTAGGGTTTATATTTTATCCCTGCTGAATGGAGCTGTCTATGCTTCCTGATTGCCACGTCCTGAACTATTTTGCTTCTCCATGCCCTTCTGCCGTCATGCTCTGCCTCACCTTGGGCTCAGAGCAACAGAGTCGAGTTGGCTGTCTATGGATGAGACCTCTGGAACTGTGAGCACCAAATAAACTTTTTCTCCTCTAAAATTGTTTTTGTCAGGTCCTTTGATCACAGTGGTGAAAAAGCGAACTAAAACACCTGGAATCTTGTTTAAGTTATTCACACCAACTAAACCTGATCATCATTATGCCAAGGTCAGACAAGAGTGAACACACACAAAGATAAACAAATAAAGGCTCTATTTTTTTCCCTATGATCCTTGGCTGAAAATCTGGCTTACATTCTCCCAGGAACTGGAAGAGAAGAAAAAAGCTTGATACTGCATACTACACATACATGTGGAAACCATGATCCCAATGACTGTACCTGTGATAACATAGGTACAATGAAAAGTGAAAAGAATAAATACCACTTGGTTTATACATGTGCCCAGCACTATTCCCAGTATTAAGTATATGACACAGACTTTCCATTCAAACTTCCTTATCTTCCTACAAGTTTATTTTACAGCTGAGGAAATGGAGGCTAACAGGACCTGTGTAATGTACCCAAGATCATCCAAATAGATACTGGTGGATTCAGAGTATTCAGGGATGCATGGGAGTCTTCTGGTGGGTATCTCTGGACCAAAGGGAACAGTGATTTCTCCCAAGCATCATCATGCTTACATGTATAGCCTTCAATTTTCATTATATAGTCCACAGTTGCTATTTTTATGACCATACTCCATCAATTCTAAGACATATGTTATTTCACATGTGAACATCTGAAATTGAGATTCATCTCACAATCTCAGTCAAGCAGAAGGCAGACATGAGATTGCTGTCATTGTTGGAGCATGTGCATTMTTTCAGAATGGGTGTTGGTGGACTAGAAAAAAAACAGTGGGTTATTCTTATTATGTGGACACATAAACACAGCATCACACACACCTTCGAAGGCAAAGACGAAATGGTTCTGAATAAGAAAGTGATTCTGAAGAATCCAAGTCAACCTGAAGTTAAGGAATATTTAAACAACTTATTTACTTACTTTTCCCTTATATGTGTATGATTTTTAAAAATCTAAGATGAAAGTCAAAACACCTCTTTCAAGAAGCATAAAATAAATGGTCTAGGTGGTAAGAAAGTAGTTTTGTGTCATATTCACAGTTCATCTATACCCAAGATGGTTCCTATCCCTCTTCACTGCTTAAAACTCTTTACCCTCTGCTGGTACTTAGGTCAAAGCCAAAGCCTCTCCCTGGTAAGCAGAGCCCTTCATCATTTATCTGCTGCACTCCACTCAACTTCCTCCTTTCCCAGTCCCTCGATTCTCACTCTGAGTGTAACCATCCCAGGACAAACCATGCTCTTCCATGCATCAGTTTCTTTGCTAGGCTCTTCTCTGAAATACTCTACACTCATGCCCTTCTCAAAACCCCTCCTGCCAATGTCCATTCAAATGCCACGGTCCAGATAATATATCGCCTCCTTGTGAAGACTGTTATTTCTGAAATTATTTTCTTTTGGGTCTTCATGGCATATACAACTATAACTGCATTATTATTTTTCTGGCATACCTTTCTTTCCCTGCAGGCTTCTAGCATAAGAACACAGACTTTACCTATTACACAAATAGTTTTTTTTTTTTTAATAATCGGGTGAATAAATGAATGGGTTAACAAATGAAGTGTTATGGGATACCTTGAGTCAAAAAGTAGAAATATTTTAGCATCACATTTTACAGGCTGTGGCACTAATATCTTTGTCTTCCTCCAATTCCGTTCTTGAAGCTGTTCCTCTGACCCTTCCCCCATTTAAGTCCTGAGTCTAACTGGAATGAGTATTTCCACATACCTCATTGGTCCCATTGACTTCCTGCCACTGAGTTAGCAGCACCTGCACTGCAGGACTGTGGCCATGCATTGCAGCCAGGTGCAAGGCCGTGTTTCCTTCCTGCAACAGAGACACAATGCAGGTAGAATCTCCTGTGCCAAGGAGCACATCCCTCCAATTGTCAGGGCTGCAGGGCTGCAGTGGGACTTTTAGAAGCTTTCTTTTTGGTTAAAGCCACAGATCAGAATGTGGGCCACATTATCTACAGTTTTTTAAAGATTTGTGTATTTTTAAGTTTTAAATGAAGATATAGCTAAGTGGACCAGTAAGGAAAAAAATCCATTCATACTCCTTGTTCACCTTTCTTATCAGTTTGCTAGCAAAATGTGGGAGAATAAAAGTAATTCCACATAACCCATGTGAGGGTGAACTAGTTAAAGATTTCTCAGAGGTAATTTTAGTAACATATATCATATCATATGTTAGAAAATAATTTTATTTTCTTAATTTTATTTTTTATTTTCTACTTTTTTGGTACCAGGGATTGAATTCAAGGGCTCTTAATTACTGAACGATATCCCCARCCTTTTTATTTTTTATTTTGAGACGGGGTCTCCTAAAGTTGCTTACAGCCTTGCTAAGTTACTGAGACTGGCTTTGAACCTGCTATCCTCCTTCCTCTGTCTCCTGAGCTGCTGGGAGTACAGGTGTACATTACCACAGCCTGCTTCAAAAGAATTTTAGAAGTGTAGAACCCTTTACCCACAATTCCACAATATAGGAATTTCTCTTAAGAAAATCATCAAAGATGTTCATATAGGGCTGGGATGTGGCTCAGTGGCAAAGCGCTTGCCTTGCACRTGTAAGGCACTGGGTTCGATCCTCAGCACCACATAAAAATAAATAAACAAAGTAAATATATTGTGTCCATCTATAACTAAAAAAAAAATTTAAAGATGTTGATATAGATACAGATATACACCCTGGTGTTTTCCCCTTCCCAATTATGTGAGATTTGAGTCCACAGCAGACCTCAGGGGAGGAGGGGAGAGGGTTGCAGTTGACAGTGGGAAAGTATCCACATAGTCAACTGAATTCAAAGCATTTATGGAACAAAACTGCCAATCTGGGTAATCCACAGCAAAACTGAATGGATTTCACCTGGATAGTTCAAATCTCCAAATCTATTGTGGGCCAAAATGCCATCACCAAATCTACACACCAATTGTTACTACCCTTTCAGCAAAGAAATCAAAATCAAGTTCACCTTGTCCTTTTCCAAAGTATGCAGATTGAGAAAGATGAGTTTTTCTATCATTTCAACGTGGCCCCTCTCAGCTGCCAAAAGAAATGGTTTCCTTCCTCTCTGAAAATAAATCACAAACTCTAACATTTATTACACACTTGACAACATTTTAAGGGTAACGAGGTGGTCAGCAAGGTCCTTCTGGTCATAGCATTTCAAACTAATTAGGGGAGGGAGTTGACAAGATTTCTGACCCCAAATCAGATTCAATTTTGGGCTGTCACTCAAAACATGGACTCAGTTTCATGGTAACAAAGAGAAGCACTGTTCAAAAGAGACCCTCCCAGGCTGAAAGTTTTCTCTGATATGCGGATGCTAATTCACATTGGGGGTGGCTAGGGAAGAATAGAGTTACTTTAGATTAGGTAGAAGGGACTGAAGGGAGGGGAAGGATATGGGGGTAGTAGGAAGGATAGTAGAATGAATCAAACATTATTAGCCTATGTACATATATAACTATATGACCAGTGGGATCCTACATCATGTATAACCAGAAGAATGAGAAAATACTCCATTATATATAATGTATCAAAATGCATTCTACTGTCATACATAACTAATTAAAACAAATTTTTAAAAATTTTAGAAATAAGAATAAGAGAATAAAATAAAAGAAGAAGAATAGACCCTCCCAAGCATCAGAGGAGGTGCTTCCTCACAGCCAGAAGACAAGATTCCATTTTATTTCATTTTTTTTGAGAGAGTGAATTTTTTAATATTTATTTTCTAGTTTTTGGCGGACACAACATCTTTGTTGGTATGTGGTGCTGAGGATCGAACCCAGGCCGCACACTTGCCAGGCGAGCGCGCTACTGCTTGAGCCACATCCCCAGCCCAAGATTCCATTTTAAATATAGCAAAATGATAACGATCACATGCCACATGGGCCAGTCAATCAGAGTCATCCGTGGGTTGGTTGGTTTCTTTCTTTCTTTCTTATTTCTTTTTCTGGACACATATTATTTTTCTTTTGGTGTCATCAGCTAAGCTATCAGTAACTAGCACAGTGCAAAGCAAACTGAAAAGAAGAAAGAGATTAAGAGCCCTGATGATGGGGCTGGGGATGTGGCTCAAGCGGTAGCTCGCTCGCCTGGCATGTGTGTGGCCCGGGTTCAATCCTCAGCACCACATACAAACAAAGATGTTGTGTCCGCCGAAAACTAAGAAAAAATAAATAAATATTAATATTCTCTCTCTCTCTCTTAAAAAAAAAAAAGAGCCCTGATGATATCATTTGAGTTCCTGGATTCAGGCATACTTGGGCCATTCATATGACTACTTTGACTGAAACATAAAGCCTTTTTTTTTTTTCTCCTTAAAATAGTTTGGGTTGGGTTTCTGTCATGTCACTGAAGGGCTTCCTTAAAGCAACTTCCCTACCTCACAGAACTATGAGAGTAATTTAAATGTGCACCAGGGTATCATTTTAGGTTCATCTAAATACTTCAAACTCAAGCAATTATCACAGGCCACATTTGGCAGCAAACTGCTCAGAAAATGTAGGACAGAAGCTGCAGCTTAGTGATGTCAGCAGTGTCTCTTCATATCATGGTCCACACAGCTGTTCAGGAGTTACTGTCTTTGGCCCTTCAGGTGACAGCTTAGTTGCAAAGTGACTTAGTTGTAAAAGCCACATTACATGGGTGTCGGAGCCACCTCAGCTTAGAAGGAACAAATATTTCTTATAACCATCCCTTGGGTGCACCTTCCAGGGTCCCCATAAGACATGTTGCTGGTTACAACAATCACTATATACAAGAAAAATCCACAGTCTGGCTTCCTCAGGTACTTAAAATTCATCTTTAGCTCCTCCCAGCCCAGATATAATGCACTAATTAAGGGTCCTTTTATCAGAAGCAATGTTGCTAAGTAAGATAGTTAATCTTCTATCTTTACCTACTTTGCAAGGACACAAGCCAGAAAGTTAACCAAAGTTTAAATTTGCATGCAGCAGGTGAAGCATTTTTGTTAGTTCTTTACTTACAGAGACCATAAACACTGTGAGCATGCTGTGTGTGCCCTTTTGAGCATGTATGCCCTGCGTGGACATTTATTGCTTTTGCCCTTATTTCTTCTAGCAATAGCACTTTTGTTTTCCTCTGGAGAACTCCCCACAAAACACACACACATACACGCATGCACACGCATTCACACACACACACACACACACACACACGCACGCACACACACACACGCACGCACACACACACCATTTGGTGCAATTAGTGCTGCCAACCACCAGGTCTTACCTGTCTGCCTCCTGTCCCATGAGGTGATCACATAATCCATGTTGATCATGTATCCACAGTGATTGTTTCAGTATGAAGCATATGATTCAAACAGGGCCTAACAATTATTTCTGAGATTTGTGTGTCAATATTTGATGAGAGAGGATTTTTCTTTCTTACTGATAAAATCCACAAGGATATAAACCTGAGGCTGCTAATAGCCACCTTTCCCATTGTGTGAAGAGTATATCTATGAATAATGACAATACATAGCCAACCAAAGTCTAGGAGAGAAGAAAAACTGGATCCAGTCAAGCCTGAAACCATTCAGATACACCCTCAAACACTTTAGTTAGGAGTTAATAAATTACCTGTATTTCTTAATCTAGAATAAGATGGAGTTTTGTTGCTTGTAACAGAAAGGATTCTAATACATCTTTATTGATTTGGGGATAGAATTAGTCTATTTTTCATTGCTATAATGAAATTCCAAACGCTGAATATGTTATAAAGAAAAGTTAATTTTGCTTCATGGTTCTAAAAGTGCAAGGTCTAGAGGCTGCATGTGGTAATGACCTTCCTGCTGACAGAGTCCTGAGGCAGTGCATGGGGTCCTATGGCAAAAGATAGGAAGTGTGTGTGTGCCTCCCTTTATGCAAAAAGCCATGAGGACTCAATCATGGAGATTCTATGCAATGACCTTATCTAGTCTTAATAACTTCCCAGAGGCTCCCCCCTCTAAACATCAAAGTTAGATTAAGTTTTCACCCTTTTAATACCATTAGCATTTGACTCTGAGGATCATATTCCTGAATGAGTTGGGGGGTTGGTAAATCATAACCCACTGGAAGGATCAGAGATCTGTTCAACTTTAAAATAACATTTCTCTTTTACCTTGGTTGCTACAAAGCTTTGTATCTTTACCTAGCTAAATAAAGAGATAGTATCCACTCCCAAAGTCTAAGACATGGGAGGTTCTGAGAAGACTACAATTACTACAGATGAAGCATCTTCCTCTCCAAGAAAATAGCAATGACTTTGAACTTTTAGTGCCTTTTAAAAGTGTAATCATCAGGGGCTGGGGTTGTGGCTCAATGGAAGAGTGCACACCTAGTGTAGGTGAGGCACTGGGTTCAATCCTCAGCGCCACACTGAAAAATAAATAAATAAATAAATAAAAATAAAGGCCTTGTGTCTACCTACAACTAAAAAAATTCAAAAATGTAGTCATCAAGAAAAAAAAATGTAAAAACCAAAATATACAAAATAAGAATGTTTACTATCTTATAAGTACATCAAAAGGTAGCATGGCACTGGGGATATAGCTCAGTTGGTAGAGTGCTTGCCTTGCATACACAAGCCCTGGGTTCAATCCTCAGCACCAAAAAAAAAAAAAAAAAAAAAAAGTAGCATAAATTAAGATGAGGTGATAGTGAAATGATATAAATCTTTTCTCCCAACTAGTACATGTTATTAGGTAAAATAACAAAAGGAGTTTCAAAGACTTATGCATTTTTCCAAAAAAAATAGTTTCTTCTTGTTAGGAAGAAATCGACACAGGCTATGCTGTATTGAAACATACCTCTGTCTTAGAACAAGTCACCTCAGGGTCACTCTGACTCAGCCTGACCTAAACCCCCATCAATACTCAGTTGTCAAGAAAAGAAATCCCAAACACTCCATCTTTATGAGAAAGGAAATTGTTATCTAGGACTGAAAACACCTGAAAGGCCCCTCCCTAATACCCCCTTCTTCACTTTCCTACRTACACAGGCTGTAAGCGGGGTCTCAGTCTCCACTCCGCCCTGTGTAGCTGCTGAGCCACCTCTCCTCTCTCTCTATTTCCTTCTTTCAGTTCTTAAACATTTTAATTTGTTTGAGTAGGGCTGTCTCCTAGGACTTCCTTCATTTGGAAGGCAGACTCTTCAACCAGGAAGATAACAGAGTGGGATGGAGGCCCGGGCTTCAGGCTGTAACAGTGGTTCACTTGATGCTTTGAATATAACCCTAGCTGCACTGGCACTGCAACTGATTTTAAAAAGGTCATGTTTCTCTCTTCCTCTTTCTCTGATCCTCCCTAATCTCAGGGGAAACAGGATTACCTTTCTTCTCCATTTTAGGCAGATTTATCTGTCCTTCAGTAGACATCAACCATAGGAATGAAGTAATCCAGATTTGGAGGATGGTACCAGAAGATCTCAGAAATGACTATACCCAAATTAACAAGTGAATTACAACTCCAACAGAGAACACACGGAATGTAGCCTTTGAGCCACTTCTTTAATAGCTCCCTGTTCCAGAGGCAGAATCACAGCCTCTGGGACAGGAGTCCCCTGTGTTTCTCCTTTGCTAACAAAACAATAAAGCTTCTTTTTCCTTTTCCTCAAAGCCATGTATGTCCTCATTATTGGATTGTCATCRGGGACAGGACCAAGCTTTCGGCAACAAGGCCTGGGACAGATCACCATGCCTCCCTGGCTCAGGATCCTGATTCCATTTCCCAATTAAAATAAGGAGGATCCAGGATTCTTATTCCTGTTTTCATTACTCAATGTGTATTTAACCTAATGTTTTAAATCATTGCACTTATTTTTTTTTTTTGCTTGTGAACAAACCTTAGGGGCTGAAATTATTTAATAAAAAAAATTTTAGCTCTAAATTTAGTGCCAGGGTTATCTAATTCAGCAAAAAATTGCAAACAGACACCAAAGTCCCACCGATATTGTTTATCATAGGCATCCTTAAGATGTCACCCAGGGAAACCCCTCACAATAGTTCTATAATTTCTCCTATGCACATTCACATCCCATAACATTTTTTCTTACTTGGGAT